GGTGTCACCAGCACAGTGGCCACCTCCCCCAGAGACCACCCTCCCCCTCCCGCTCCCCATCTCAGGGGCTCCGTTATCCTCAGACAAACTTGGCCTTTAGCTCCTGGGTAATCTGCCCACTGCCAGGGCTCAGGGTGTGAGGCAGGGCAGTCCTGGGGGCACACCTCAGCCCCCACCCCCTTCCTGCGGCACAAGGACCCGGCCACATGGCCTGAAGGCTCTCAGAGGGTCCAACATGATGGACCCTTCCACGGGAGAAGCTGCAGCCCAGCCCATCAGCCCAGAGGAGCAGAGGTTGAGAGGCCAGGAGCACAGTAGAGAAGACGCAGCCTCAGCCCCGAGGACCCATGCCCACTCACGTCGGTGCGGTGGCGGGCCTGGTGGGGCCCTTCCTGTCTAACCACACAGTGACACTTCGGGGCAAGGTGAGTGTCGGTGCGCCTTTGCACTTGTGTGTGGGGTCTGGGTGTGTCGCTGCGTGTGCAGGGTGTGTGGCAGTGAGTGTGAGTCTCCCTGGGGCTAGATGCCCTTGGCCCGGACGTGCTGTGTCCGTGTGGTGGCGGGGGTGGGGGCTGGGCCCGGTCCCTGGGCAGCGTGGCGGCCCTGGGGCTGAGACTCACCCTCGGACAGGGATGGACCTTGTGGGCAGCAGCGTCTTCTGCAGGGGCAGCTGCTCCCGCAGCAAGCTGCTCATCTTCGTTAGCTCCCAGGGCTGCAGGAGCTCTGAGCTTGTCTCCATCAGCCAGGAGAACCTGCGGGCAGTGGGGCCTTGGGGGCTGCGGCCCAGCCATGCGCAGGGGCTCTCGAGACTCAGGAACCGTGCTGGGAGGCAGGTGTTGCTGGGACACTTTATGGACGGGCAGACCAAGGGCAAGTGACTTGCCCGGAGACCACACAGCTCGGAAGCAGCGGAGCTGAGGTCTGGAAGGGCGGCTGACTTGCAGCCCTGTGGGCCGGGCCCCACCCCAGTGCCCTCTTGCTTCACGAAGGGCCACACGGCCATGCGAGTGCCACACTGGGCCCCGGGGACGGACCGGGGCTGTGAGCTGAGGGCAGGTGCCCCTGCCGCGGGCAGCCGTGAGGAGGCTGCAGCCCCCAAGGTTGGGCTCGGGGCCGCCCTCAGCCCTCCCAGGCCCCTCAACCCAGAGAAACAGGCTGCCTGGCAGAGGACCCACGCCGCCCAGACTGCGGGCTCTGCTGACTCCTGCCCCGCCCCCACACCTGGACCCCATCACACCCCCCGCAGGAGCAAGTGTGCTGACCAGGCAACAGGAAGCAGCCCGCCGAGGCTCTGGGGGGCCCAGCTCAGGGCCGAAGGGGTGGTGTGGAGCCCGTCGCCGGGGAGCACCGAGCAGCTCACGGTTCCCTGTGGACAGAGACCCCCACCCGCTCCTGCCGTGCTTCCCAGAGGATGCTCCTGCAGTGGGGGCCTGTGGAAGGGGTGCCCCGCCTGGCTCGGGCTCAGGGTCCAGTACCTGTATGGAAACTTCCTGGCAAACTTCTCTTGCACCCTGGCCTTACTCTTCTTTCCCTGGTGGGACTTCTTGGGGGCCTTCGGGTCCATCACAGAAGGGGGCTACACTGGGGTGCGCCCTTCAGCCGGAGCTGGAAGAGAGGCCGGAGGAGCCAGTCAGGACCCGAACAGCAAGGCTTCCCAGACAGCGCATGGAGACAGGGTGCCCGGGAGGGTTGTGAGCCCCCCAGTGCTCAGCACGCTGCTCCACAAGGCCTGCTCTCGTGTCAGTGTGTGTGTGTATATGCGTGTACACGTGTATGTGTGTACACGTGTGTGTGCAGCTGTACGCCAAGCTTGGCTCTGAGTCACCCCCACAGTCAAAGGGGCCCTCGGCTGACTGGCCCTGCAGGTCCCAGGTGTGCACAGCCCCCGCAGCGGCATCCACCTCCACTGCGGCCCAGCCAGGGTCACCTCGGGTCTCTTTGGGCCGTGTGGGGCCTTGGCCGAGGCACCCTCTGGAGACGGGCTGCCTGGTGCTCTCTCCAGGCTGGGTCTGCAGGGGCTCCTGCCCGGGGCTGGGCTGGACTGACTGTCTCCCCCTGGGCCCCGGGAGCCCCCAGGATGGATCATAATGAATAAAGCTGCTGTGGATGTTCACGCACAGGTTTCTGCACAAAGCTGTGTCCCTGTTTCTCTGTTGCACGCACTGACAGTGCAGCCGCTGGGCTGACGGAAGCCCGTTTTAGTTTTAAAGAGATCTGCCCCACAGCTCTCGAGCGGCTGGGCCATTTTCCCTGCCCTACAGTCATGAGTAGTTCTCTTTCAGAGGATAAGACAAGAGTAAGGATGACCCAAGCTGGGGCTGAGGAGGCCTGGGCGTCAGGCCTGAGCGCGGGGGCTCGTGAGCCCCTTACCCCAGTGACTGTGCTCATGCGGCCACGTCACCGTCCACGTGACCCTCACGGGCTGAAGCCACCCCTGCCAGCCCCCTCCTGGCATGGGGGGGCCCTGGTTCCAGGCGGGGGGCCGTGCAGACTCTGGCAGGACTGACCGCACCAGGCGACAGGTTACCCGGGAGCTGGCGCCCCTGAAGCGGCCCCTACTGGCGACTCAAGGATGAGGCGGCCGGGGCAGCTGCGAGGCCTGCTCCCCACCGCACCGCCCCGGGAGGGCCTGGGGGATTGGGAGACAAGCCTGGAGGCCTCTTTCCCGCCTTCTCACCCCCAGCCCCACAGAGCCAAGGGAGCGCCCCCCAAATATGGCGTCTCTCTCGCAGCAGTGGGGCCTGGCCCCCGATCCCCACCGTGGAAGCCGCTGAGCCACAGGCCCCGAGGGCGAAGGCCGCGAAGGCCGCAAGCACTGATCTGAGCACACACGCGCCCGCACACGCGGGCACACAGCTCCCGGGGGCCCTTTGGCCTGCATCTCCACCCGTCCACCCTTAGGGGGACGCTGTCCCCTGCTTCTCTGAGCCTGAGTCTCAGCAGCTGTGTTCCTGTGACCACACTTTGCTGTCAGATCTCCTGAAATCCGGAGAGAAGCCTCGGAGAAACAAGCGCTTCTTTCCCGGGCAGGGGCTGGGTCCCCAGAAGCCTTGGTTCCCTAGGGACGGGGCAGCCCTCTGCACCAGGGCAGACCTCGGGCGAGGGACCCGGGCTGGTATTAGGGCAAGGTCTTCAGCTCCCCCGGGAGCCAGGCCGGGATGCGGGGAGCGGGCAGGGGGCTGGGTCCAGGATAGGGCGGCCCGCGGGGTGTCTGTGCTGCTGCCTGCGGCCCTGGTTTACTTCCCCCCACCACCACCCCCCACCCCCGACGGCAGACAGGCCACCACAGCCCTCTTCAGGTGAGGAAACCGAGGCTCCGGGGGGAACTGCCCTGCCTGCATCTCCACCCCCCCACCCCGCAGTATGTGGGGGAAGAGGTGGCATCCAAGCTACATGGCTCCCACAGTCCTGGAGCAGCTGGGCGACAGAGGGCACCCCAGCAGTGACCACAGATGACACGACCCTGCTGCGGGAACCCACGGCCTGGAGGAGACAAGCAAGGGCCCCCACGCCTCCCAGGTCGCCTGCGGACCCTCTTGGTCGTGGGCCTGGGCATGCATGCTGCGGGGAGCCCGCTTCCACAGGCAGGGGGACCCCGCAGGTCCAGGCTGCCGCCCCCATCCCAGCGGAGATGCTGTCAGGTGTGGATCAGAGCACCCAGCAGTGACCCCACCCAGGAGGATGCTGATGTGAGGGCCAGCCCCCCTGCAGCCAGAAGGGTGTGCGTGAGCAGACCCCCAGGCCCAGGTACTCACTGGCCACCCTGTGTGATGAACCTGGGGGAGGCGAACGCTGGCCATGGTCCTGGCTGCCATGCACCAGGCCCTGGGCCCAGGACACGGGGCCAGGCCCGCAGCCTCACCCAGCGTCAGAGCCCGCGAGGTCACAATCAGCGACTCCTGGCCAGGGAGGGGCAATGGGAGTGGCGGTGTGGGGCTGGGCTGGGCTGGTGGGCACCCCCAATCTGAGGACCCTGCATGGGAGCTCCTGCAGCCACATGCGTGGGAGCGGGGCACACACGAGGCCTGGAAGCAGCGAACAACCCACCTGGGCAGAAAAAATTTCCTTCTTCGGGACTTCCCTGGTGGTCTGGTGGATAAGGCTCCACCCTCCCAATGCAGGGGGCACAGGCTCCATCTCTAGTTGGGAACTAAGAGGCCAGGTGCCGAGCGATGCGGACAAACAGTAAAGAGAAGCTCCCTCCCTGGCTGACCCTGACCTGAGCCCAGGCTGCAGCCCAGGAGTGGCCAGGCTGAGGTGACTCAGGGGAGGGCGGGCGTTAGGGTGCAGCTCCGGGGTCTGCTGCCCCACGGAGACCCCACTGGGCTGGGAATTGACCGGGCCGCCAATAGACGAGCAGCGGGGAGCCTGCCAGGGCGCGACCCCAGCTCAGTGCGAGGACTGGGGGCTGGAGGGGAGAGGACGGTGCAGGCAGCAGGGCCGGTGTCCGCCCTCACGTCCTGGGTCTTGACCCAGAGGGTCTCAGAGCAGCCCTGACGTGGGGCTCCAGTCCAGGGGCTTGCTGGGGGCATGATGCAGGATGAGGCCTGAGGGGAGCCCCGTAGGGACCCCTCTTCCCAGTCCCCCTCCCCTCAGCACTTCCTGCCCTGGGGTGGGGCACCCCCTCCGGGTGGGGCTGGGGGGCATCCCTGGGTCAGCAGTGAAGTCAGCCCCGCAGCAGTGGGCTGGGGGCAGCAGCCTGCTGGGGTCCAGAGGTGTGCGCAAGGCCAAGCCCGTTGTCGCCGAAGATGGAAACGAACGGAGGGGCAGAGCGAGCAAGATGGGGAAGGAGGCCTGCAGACGGTGGAGCCCCGGGAGCCCCAGGAACCCCAGGAGCCTGCAGCTGTGCAGGGTGCTGAAGGGCCGGAGGTCCCGGTGGACTGGGCCCGTCCTGAGGAGCGCCGGCAGGAGAGTGTCCACCTGGGCTGGGCCGAGGGCCACCTGCCAGGGTTCGCGGCTGTGAGGGGCACCAGGTGAGCACCCCCCAACCCTGCTGGGGCCTAGGCTCGTGACCCTCCTGGAGAGCCCCGTGTACGCCCTGTGGCTGGGCGACTGGGACTCCCAGGGGCCCTATCACACTGGTGAGGTCGCAGTGCCCGGGGGCCCAGGGCTCCGGCCCAGGCAACGGCAGGCCTGCGGGCAGGTGGGGCTCCGTGCTCCTGGTTGCTCTGCCCTGTCCCCTCCGCAGCAGCCTGACAGTCTAACACCAGCGCTGAGAGGAGGCCTCCACCAGGAGAGCGCGGGCCGGGTGAGGCCAGGGCGGGCCAGGCGCTCAGTGAGGCCACCAGTGACCAGGTGTGCGTGGAGACACCTGGCATCCACGCGGAGGAGGAGGCGAGCGGGCCGGGAGCCCCGGGGTGGACCCGGCGGCCAGCAGAGCTCACTCAAGGAGAGGCGTGGCCCCGGGAGGGAAGCGCTGGATAACGGGCGGGCCCGAGGGACATCCAGGCGAAAGCCACACGCTGTGCGCACCGAGGCCTCCACGGCAGGTGCACACGGCCCTGCGGGGAGACCACGAGTCCAGTCTCGGTCAGCCTCTCTGCCCTTCTTTGGGCCCCCACCCCGACGCGGGCAGGTAAACACCTGGGTCTGAGGTCCAGGTGCATGACACCTGGCCTTAGACGGGGGTGTGGGCGCCGCTGGGACATCAACAGCAACTGAAGACACGCGTCCGGAGCAGAGTGCACACAGCAAAGAGGGCCTCGGGCCTCGGGTTAGGAGGCCCTGACGGTTCACGATCAGGCCCACAGACAGAGAAGACACAGCGAGGGGGGTCACCAAACCCGGCCTTGCGTCGCCTGTGACCAGACCCAAGTCTGCCTCTTCTTTTCCAATGCGGATGCCTTTTGCTTCTTTTTCTTGCCTGGAACTCCAGGGTGAGTTGAATGAGCAGTAGGCAAAGCAGGCATCTTTATCTTGTTCCTGACCTTAGAGAAAAAAACCTTTCCATCTTACCTCTCAATACTGAGGACGGTGTGATCTGAGTTTTTCACCTGGGGCTTTATTGTGTTGGATTTTGCCAGATGCTTTTTCTGTACCAACTGAGACGGTCACATAGTTTCCAACCGTCATTTTATTAATATGGTGTGTCTCATCGACTGAGTTCCTTATTGTGAAACACCCTTGCAGCCTGGGAATAAAACTCACTTCACATACAGTCCTTTAGAGATTTGCTGGATCTAGTTGGGTACTACTATCCTGTCGAGGACCTTTGCACCTGTAATCATCAGGGTACTGGTCTAGGTTTGCTGGTTGTGTCTCCATCTGGCTTTGGTAGCAGGAGATAGTGCTGCACAGAACGATTTGGGAAGTGATCTTTCCTCTTCAGCTTTTTGGAAGATTTTGAGAGAAACTGCTATTAATCCCGCTTTAATGTTTCACAGAATTACACCATCTGGTCTTGGGCTTTTTTTTTTAAAGCTGTTGGTTTGTTTCTTTAGATCAACTTTATTAAGGCATAACGGATACACAATTAAATGCAGTTTAAAAATTGTGATAAAATACACAAAACAGTAACCATCTTGACCATTTTAAAGTGTATGGTTCAGTGCTAAACCAGTCAGTCCTAAAGGAAATAAACCCTGAATATTCACTGGAAGGACTAATGCTGAAGCTGAAGCTCCAATACTTTGACCACCTGATGCGAAGAGCCAACTCACTGGAAAAGACCCTGATGCTGGGAAAGATTGGAGGCAGGAGGAGAAGGGGACGACAGAGGATGAGATGGTTGGATGGCATCACCTACTCGATGGACATGAATGTAAGGAAACTCTGGGAGACAGTGAAGGCCAGGGAAGCCTGGTGTGCTGCAGCCCTCGGGATCACAGAGTCAGACCTAACTTAGCAACTGAACAACAGCTCTTGACTGTCGTGGGGTGGTAGCTCATTGAGCTTTGACCTCCATTCCTCTGGTGATGTACTGGCCATTTGTGCATGTCCTGTGGATAAATGTCTGATAAAGTCCTTTGCCCACTTTCAACCTGGGTGTGTGTTTCTATGTTCCTGGGCTTTGGAAGTTTCTCAGTACATTCCAGATATTACATTCTGGAATATACCTCTTAGCAGACATGAGGCCTGAAAATCTCTCCTCTCACTCTGGGGTTTGTCTTCTTGCTCTGCACACAGTGTCCGGGCGTCCTTGCTGCACAGACTTTTAACCCCCCTGGGGCCCAGTGTGTCCATTCTTCCTTGCTTCCTGTGCCTTTTGTCGCACACAAGAGCCACTGCCGAATCCCGTGTCGTGAAGCACTTGCCCTGGGTTTTCTTGTAAGTCCTGTGGCTTTTGCATTCACACTTGGGTCTCTGACCCACTTTCAGCTGATGTTTGTATACGATGTTAGCAGAAATCTGACGTTACCCTTTGGTGTGGCTTCCCAGAGCCAGCGGGAGAAAGAGGACTCTTTCCTATGAAAGGGTCTTAGTGCTGTTTCCACCATCCGCCCGACCTGACACGTGAGGCCTGACTTCCCTATTCTCTGTGCTGAGACCACGCTGTTCTCACAGCTGAGGGTCTGCAGTAAACCCTGAAACAGGAAGTGTGTGATCTCTAACTCTCTGCTGTTTCAAGGCTGTTCTGAACGTTCAGAATCCCCTTCAGGTTCCATGGGAATTTCAGGATGGGTTCTTTCATTTTTGACAGAACCTGAATGTGCAGATTGCTTCAGGCACAACCGACATTTTAACAGTATTAAGTTTCCTAATCCATAAACACAGGCTGTCTTTCCACTTATTTGTCTTCTTTTCCTCGACAGTTTGTAGTTTTCACTGTACACCTGCTCCACCTCCTTGGTTAATTCAGTTCCTATGGATTCTCTTCTGGGGGCTACTGTGAGTGGAATCATTTTCTTCATTTCGAGATGGATCACGGTTGGTGTACAGACTTTCACTGGACTTCCTGGAGTTCATTTCGCATCCTGAGACCTGCTGAGCTCATTCACCAGGTCCAACAGCTTCTGTGTCTGGGCTTGAGGCATCTTCAGTATTTTCTACATCTACAACCCCATCATCTGTGAATAGAGATGATTCAACTTCTTTTTCTTGCCTAATTGCTCTGCATAGAACTTTAAATAAGGACTCTGGTGAACACAAGTGGCAGAAGGGGACAGCCTTGTCTTGTTAGACGATCACTCTGGGGTTTTTACATACGGCTTTTGTTACACAGAGGTAGTTTTCCTCTATTCCTAGTTCGTTGAGTACTTTTTAATCAGGACAAGTGTGTTGAATTTAGTCGAATGCTCTTTCAGCATCGACTGATACCATGTGATTCTTTTTCCTTCATTCTGTCGATGAGGTATTCTACGCTGATTGGACTCTGCATGTTGAACCATTCTTGCATTCCAGACACCAGTCTCAGCTGGTTAAAGTGTGCACTCCTAGGAGAAAACCTACTTGAAGGAGAAGAGGTGGTGACTAGATGCCAATGCCGAGACAACACAGACAGCTGTATTACCTGGCCAAGATGCTACAACAGCCGTTACGAGAAATGCTCCAACAAGAAAGAGAAAGCACTCCGCCTGCGTTACTCCCTGTCGACTGCTGCCGGCCCACATGCAGGAACCAGCAGCGCCTCCCGGGGGCCACTGTGCTGCCGCCACGGCAACTGCTCCCCCCTTGCCTGCTCGTGTCTCCTCAGTAACTGGACCCCGAGACCGGAAAGCCGGGCGCCCCGCCCCTCTGCAGGCCCCTCTGCCGCCTCCGGGGAGGGCGGCAGACACCCCGCGCACAGATGGTGACTCCGACCTGCTTACTGGCCTAAAGTTTCTTTTAAAAAGAAGTTCTGATCACAGGACCAGTGGGCCAGTGGGTGGCGGGCAGCCCAGGACCACACCGTGGTCTGGAACCCTGGACTTGGGGCTGGGAGGTCTGCTCCGGAGGAAACAGGCTCCTCCCCAGGGAAGGCTGCCCGCCTCTAGCCCTTTTAGATGCCGACAGGTGTGCACACCCCAAGGGAAGCCCCTGACATCACCTGGTCATTTGCTGAACCAGGCTGTGAGTAAACAGACTGTGAACAGAAACGTTTTAAATAACTTTAAATTAGATTTCCCATAACACAGTACTGACAATGTTTTCATATTACTCTGAAGCTCAACACGCTGAGCACGCCCACTGGAGTCAGTTTCATAACAGAGACTGGTTCAGTGGAAGCAACAAGGAGGAGGTCAAACCACAGCAAGCAGGAGCGCTGACTTGGATGAGTCAGTCGAGAAAGGCCTTGTGGAGCAGCTGGCGGGCAGAGGTCGGTCTTGGCTCACCTGGCGGCTCTGAGCAAAGACGTCAAGGAGGCAGCGAGCCTGCCCTCCCGTCAGCCCAGCCGGGCAGTGGGCCCCCCACGCCGTCCCGCCTCCTGCCCCTGGGCAGCCCGCGGGCTTCCGAGCCACACGCGCCGTCTCACCGACGCGGGGAGGGACAGGACGGGGCGGCAGGGCCTAGCCTCAGCAGCCCTTCTGCGTGATGTCCAGTCCCGATGCCTTGGTGATCTCCAAGGTGGTGAATACCTGCCCAGGGGAGGAAAGACAGCGATTCACAGGCAGCGGTGCAGACGCCGGCTTCGGGAGGACGCGTCCCGAGCGCGGCGCTGGCGGCGCCCCGGGAGCATGCAGCTGCAGACAGCAGGCCCTCCCCGCCCCCGGGGCTCCGGGGGCGCACCTCTCCGCACGTGGGGTGGATCCCGATGGTGTCACCCAGCAGCTGCTTTGTGAGCCCACACTTCATGGCGGTGGCAAAGCCCTGGGTGATCTCCCCGGCGTTCGGTGCGAGGACGTGAAATCCTACCACCCGATCCTTCCGAAAGGAAGCCAGCAGGTTAGTGCCCTGACTAGGAGCCTCGTCATCCCAAGTTCACTTACAGCATCTCCCCCAGAAAAGCGCCTCTAACGCTGCCCTGAGCCCAGAGCACCACCAGGAGCCTGCGCCTTTGAGACTCTGCGGGGAGAGCCCTGGGCGCATGCCCCGAGATACCGTGAGCTCCAACCCACCAGGACGAGTGTGCACCTCTGCCCAGAGGGGTTCCCAGCTTGGTGGACGCTTCCAGTTACCCCGACAGAGTGCTGAATGACAGTCTGAAAAGTCAGGGCTAACAGCCACGCCAGGGTGTGTGCCTTCTGAGCAGGGGCCCCACTCCTGGCCCGGGGCACGGACACCAAGGAGTGCAGGGCCCTCTCCCCTCACCCCCACGCAACACAGCGGGGGCAGTCGATTCATCCCGGGCTCCCCTGGGTCTCCCCATCCACAGCTCTCATCTCTCCCCCATCTAGAGCTTCAGGCCCACCAGGGGAAGGCCTATGCCCCCACAGCGGGCCTGCGAAAGAACACCCCACAGTGACGGGCGCTCCCTGGGGGCCGTGAGCGATGCCCGGAGTCTCCAGGCCCCACGGGAGGGACCCCTGGAGGGGTGCAGGAGGTCACATCATTGGCAACTTCATGTCCGACCTCCCCAGAAAGAATCTCAGACTCTGAGGAGGGAGGCACCCCCATCCTGGCACAGCCTCGCACACTCTTCACTGGCCTCGAGGGGCCCTGCTGCCCCCACAGGGGTGAGGGGCTCTCAGGCTTCCCTCACGCTCCACGGGGGGCCCTGCACCTGCCACTGTGAGCGCCTCCATCAGAATCTGAGGACTTCTAAGCAGGCTCTTGCTGCACGGAGGCATCTCCTAACCGCCCGTGGCACGTCCTGGCTACAGGCAGACACGCTGTGTTGCACACAGCTCTGCTCCTGGCAGACCGCAGGTCCGTGCCAACGCCGTGCAGGGCACGTCTCCCGGCAACGCCTTTCCGGCAGCAATCGCTCACTTGGTGCTTCTGTGCCACACTCTGGAAACTCTCACACTGCTTCAAACTTCTTCCTTGTGATTGTACCCATGATCAGGGACTGTGATGGTGCTCCTGTAACTGTTCTGTGTACCGCGAATGAGGTCCACGTGACACGGGGACCTTTGCCCACGGCTCCACCGACTGGCTCCCGCCCCCAGCCCATCTCCGCCTCCTTGGCCTCCCTCTTCCCTGGGACAGGAACACACTGAAATTAGGCCAATAATCTCCCAACGATGGCCTCTGAACGTTCAAATGGAAGCAAGAATCGCACACCTCTCCTTGACATCAGAAGCTGGAAATGGGGAGGGCGGGTGGATAGCCAGGACAGGCTGAGAGCTGGGCCTCCTGAGCCGGACAGTCAGCCAGGCTGAGAACGCGACAGGACAGCCCCCCGAGGCACTGGGAGCGCTGCCCCAGCAAGCGCAGGAGCAGGGGAGGGGAGCAGCCTGCCTGCTGACGTGGGTGGGTCAGCCCTGGCATCCAGGCGGAAGACCAGAGCAGCCCCTGCGTCCCCTGATCAAAGCCTCCAGAGCAAGGCCGTGATCCCCTCCGGTTCCATGAAGGCAGAGAGGGGGGAGGACACTGAAGGGCAGTGGGACCTGGTGGAGCGGGCTCGCAGGGACTCAGGAAGGAACCGTCTCAGATACAGCACTGCGGGGCCGGGGAGGCAGAAAGCGCTGACACATAGGCTGCAGCCCTTTACCCGGAAGACCTAACCTCCCCAGAAGCTCCGACACAGTGGTTTCCAACGTGGATGGAAAGATGCATCTGGGGCGTTCATGGCGCTAGCAGTAAAGAACCTGCCTGCCAATGCAGGAGACGTGAGAGACCTGGGTTCCACCCCTGGGTGGGGAAGATCCCCTGGAAGAGGGCATGGCAACCCCCTCCGGTATTCTCGCCTGGAGAGTGCCATGGGCAGAGCAGCCTGGCGGGCTGCAGTCTATGGGGTCACAAAGGGTCGGACACGACTGACGCAGCTGAGCATGCACGCAGTCCTTTCACGGTGAGAGGCGAGAAGTCAGAGTCTGGCTTCACAGCCTCAGAGGACAGGCTGCTCTCGCGCTGGGCGCTGACACAGTGGAACCCGGCACTGACCTACCATTCCCCAAACCCCAGGGCCCTTAAGAATTAAGCTGAGTCGACACTGCTTTGCGCTCAACAAAGCCTGGATGACATCTGCTTACAGCATTGTTTAGGGAATGCTTTAAGCCTACTGTTGAGACCAACTGCTCAGAAGAAAAGATTCCTTTCCAAATAGGAACGCCCTTTCCAAATGACATGCCGCTGACCACCCCAGAGCTCTGATGGAGATGCTCAACCTGACGGATGTTGCTTTCACATCGGCTGACACAACAGCCGTCTGCTGTCCAGCAGTCAAGAAGCAATCTTGACTTCCAAGTCCTATTGTTGGGCAGATCCATTCTGCTAGGCTGCCGCTGCCACAGACAGTGAGCCCTCTGGCGGATCCGGGCAGAGTGGGCCAAAGGTCTTCTGGAGAGAAGTCCCGTCCCAGATGTTGTAAGAGCATCACGGCTCGTGGGACGAGGTCAGAGCAGAAACCTGAGAGGTGTTTGGAAGAACCTAACTCTAGCCCCATGGGTGACAGCGAGGGGCCCAGGACTTCCTGGAGGAAGGAAGGGAGACGTGCTGGAAGCAGCAGGAGAACTGGGGTCAGAAGTGGGTCCTGAAGGGGCTGAGTTACCGCCACCTGAGGATGAACCGAACGCAGGAGGAGCTGCTCCCGGCGGACAAGCACAAGCGGCGGTTCCTGAGATAGAGCCACTCCTGCAAGAGGCTGTGCCCACAGCCATGCTGACAACCAGCGCAACACGCTTGGTGCATAAAGAGCAGCAGGTCTGAGAGGACGGACTCTAGCTCTGAAGGCAGTGCCGCTGTGGGTGAAACGCTACCAAACAGCACTGCCCACTTCAGGGAAACCACTCATGAAAGAACAGTCCTTCCAAGCGGCCGGCGTCCCAGTCATCTTGTTTTGAGAAACAGCTGCAGCCGCCCCAGCCTTCAGCCACCTCTGCCCTGATCCGTCAGCAGCCCCAGCGCTGCAGCCAGACCCTCAACCAGCAAGAGCGCTGCAATCTGCTGAGGGCCAGCTGATGGTTAGACTGTTGAAGCATAAAGTATTTTTAAATTAAGGTTGTACGTTGAGTTTTTTAGACAGAACGCGACTGATAAAGACTGTAGTCTGGTGTAAATGTGACCTCACATGCACAGGGAAACCAAACAATTCTGGGGCTCACACGACCATGACATTCGATTTATTGCCAGGTCTGGAACCAAACCTGCAATGTCTTCAAGGCACGCCTGTGTCTCCAGATGCAGACGGATGCACCTACGCTGTGTCGTCGATGGCCCAGATCACGGCAGAGCCTGAGGCACCACACCACCCGTCAGAGCGCCCCAGAGAGACACAATCCCACGGAGAAAGGGAGGCACGGGTCCATCCCCACAAGCACAGCACCCGGGTGGCAGTCTCAAGGATCCCTGCCTAGCCCCGAGAGCTATCTTTAAGGAGATTATAAAAACCCAGATACGAGACTAAAAGCGACATTTTAAAATCAAGGCATGCCTGCTTCCAACCACACGACGTACGTTCTCCAGTTTATTGCAGATTATCTTCGCGTAACAAGTGTTGCTGTCTCTGCAGGCCACTGTCCACTCGAGAGGCCAGAACAGAGTGTGGTAGACCTGCAAGAGAGAGGCAGAGGTCGGCGTCCACGGGGACACGCCTGCAGGGCTCCGTGGCCACGCAGAGACGGCAGTGTGTCCACCAGCTCTCCGAAACTTTTGATACAAACTTTTTAATCTCTGTGGCTACTAGGAACATGAGATAAATGCATCTTCACCCCAAGGTATTATTCCTAAAATATACTCCAGATGTTAAGAAAAGAGATGGTGCCAACTCCTGAGATTATAAACAGGATTTCTGAAACAGGAAGTTCCTGGAAACGGGAAGCTCCTGGCTTCGACACGCCGAGTCCTGCGCGGGACCCTCCCCCTGTATCCCCTCCACTCCTTTCCTCACGCGCATTGTTGTTCAATGGCTCAGTCGTGTCTGACTCTGAGACCCCATGGACTGCAGCATGCCAGGCTCCCCTGTCCATCACCATCTCCTGGAGCTTGCTCAAACTCATATCCATTGAGTCGGTGATGCCATCCAACCATCTCATCCTCTGTTGTCCCCTTCTCTTGCCCTCAATCTTTCCCAGCATCAGGGTCTTTTCCAATGAGTTGGCTCTTCACATCAATGTGTTAGCTATGATTTTCCTTCCAGTATTTGGAAGATTTTGTTTCATTTAAGGATTTGATCCTCCTGGTTTAAAGTGGGCGTGAAGCATGGGCCCAACTTAACATTTTTCCTGAATGCTGTCCACTTACTCCAACACCCTCAATGAACGTCTTTTGCCATAGATTTAAAATACCGCCTCTATCACATGTTAATTCTCCTAAGCACCTGAATCAATCTGGGCTTCAGATTCTGTTCTGCTGGTCTTTCTGCCACCTGTGTGCCCCTCAGCACAGTTTTAGGGCCTGTACCCTCAGGATAAACGACTACCCGACAGCGCTGGTCCCCCCTCCGCCCAGAGCTCTCATTGTCCAGACCTTCCCTTCGGAGTTCCCTAGGGGTCCAGTCGTTATCACTCGGCGCTTTCTTTGCGTGGGGGTGCGAGTTCAGTTGGGGAACTGAGATCTAACAAGCTGAGTGGCACAGCCCGGCCCCTAAAATCATCTCCCTATTACTGCCTTTTTAAAAGAGTTTTAATTGTTAAATCAACATATGCACAAGAAGTGCACATTTAAAAGCTCTGGTACGCGGCCAGCCACCTCTGCCGCCCAGACACAAATGCCTTCCCTCCTGCTTGTCACCAGCCTGCACGCTTCTAAACAGCACACTTCTGCTGCGGTTGCCTGCTCCCGGGCGGGCTCTGCTTCCTGGCCTGCCCTCCTCTCAGGAGGCTTCCCTCTTTCTTCCCTGGCCCCTGCCCTCCCACCCGCCCTCCCAATTACACTGAAATTTGTAAGCTAGATCAGTGCCCATATTTCCTCACCAGGAGGAAGCTCTTCAAGGAGAAATGGGCCCCCACGTGCGGGGGAATGAGGCTGGACCCCGACCTCACACGTGTACAGAAAGTCCTCAGAATGGATCAGAGGCCCACATGTCAGAGCTGAAAACCGTAACACTCCAGGAAGAAAACACAGGCATCAGCCTTCACGACTGTGGGTCAGACAATGACTTGTCAGAAGTGACAGCAAGAGTACATGTGACAACGGAAAAAAAAAAAAAAAGACACGCCGGACTGCACCAACAAGAGAGATCTCTGTGCTTCAAAGGACACCATCAGGGGAGTGAAGACAGAACCCACGGAAATGGTGAAAACTTTCATAAGGACCCCATGGCCTCTCACTAAGCTTGTGAGGTGTTTCCCTGGTGACAGTGACACTGAGAATCTTTTCACGTGTCTGCTGGCCACTTGTGCACGTTCTTTGGGGAAATATCCTTTGCTCTTTTAAAAGCCAGGTTATTTGGCTTTTATTGTTGTAAGAGTTCTTTGATATTCTACATACAAGCTCCTTATCAGAGATCAAAGTCTGGAGGACTTTATGGCATGAATTTTGTGAACGAATTCCATCTTCTTATCCCGTCTTACTGTGTCTACCCTCACTTTTCACCTTAATTTCCTCACTTGAAAAGATATAATATGTGGAGTTATGCGAGGTTTCCTCAAGTCTCTTTATAATAGGAGTATCGAAAATACTAATAGATCAAATTTTCAGTCCTGCAAAATGCAAAAGTCGAAGTCTAGACTCGGTGCGCTGATGTGCAGGGGGCCTTAGGGGAGATGGAGAGTGAGCCATAAACCCCATAAACGGGGGTTCTTCCTATAGACGCGCCCCTTCACCTGGGGTGCAGCCTCCTACGTCCTTCCTCTCACGCGCCTACCATCCACGACGGCTACCGTCACTCATCAGAGACCCGACTAACAGTTCACCACTCACACAGGTGGTTCATTATTCCCAGGAGTTAATTATAAACTCTGATCAGGTTACGTCCTCTGAAATGGAAACTTCTCACTGAAAACGACACCTAAACAACAGCCCCGGAAAACACGCGGTGGTTCTAACCCTCTGACCTCCTTCATCTCCCCAACCCTCCCCACATGGGGAGGAGAAGGCAGGAGAAGGCCACTGGGACCACCCGCCACATCACAGTGAGCAGACCCTGAGGCGGAGGGGAGCAGAGAGCCACTCTGGGGGCGTCTGGACAGCCCGCAGCCCCGGAACCGGCCCCCACCCCGAGCCACTCTGCCTGAGCCTGGCCCCGCCACGCCATGCGGGGAAGGTGGACAGAGCCAGCTCGGGCCAGCAAACGTCCCCACGACGTGTGACTGAAGCAGACCTGGGTCACTCAGCTCCTCCAAAGGCCAGAGCTAGCAGTGAACTTGCCGTGGGGAGAGGCCACACGCGTCTGTTTCTGCAGGAACAGAAGCATGACCCGCGAGTGCATGCGCGCACACACACAGACATGTACACATGCACGTACACGTGTGCACACACAGAGACATGCACACACATACACACGCACACGTGAGCCCCAGCAGGAGGAGGAGGAGCGGCCATGGCCCCCCAGCCCCGGTCCTCCCCCTACCCACAGCTCCCGGGACACTGCGTGCTCCCCCGAGGCCCCCCCGCAGATGCTGCCCAGGCACTCAAAGCCCGTGTGCACAGTCTGCGTCCTTCTTCCCAGCTGTGTGACTGTCACTCTGCTAGAAACAGGGCTTACATGATTTAATTCCCAACTTTCCTAAAGCAGGAATACAATTTCCGACAATGCAGCCCTCATAGGAACTTGCAAAACTACAGAATAAGAAGTGGCCAACAGGAGAAACTGTGGATTGGAGCCGAGGTCTGGGAATGCACCAACCCCGCATCTTACATTCAGATTCTCCGCCTGGTACACCTCGCTAGCCTTCTCCTCTGAGTACCCACAGCAGCCGTACTCCAAGGGCGTGAATACCACGGTGGGGACGTTGACGTAGTCACACTGCAAGACAGACAGCTCATGTCTCTTGTTTCCTCCTGCTTTTTACAGTGACAATCTGCACGACGTACACTTGTAAACGGAGGACGAATGAGCACGGCCCCGTGCAGGTGGCCCGCACCGCCACGGCTCAGAGACTGAGTCACTGAGCAGACGGGGAGCCCCGACTCCGGCCGCTTCGGTGGGACCAGGACCCCCCAGCCAGGCACAGGGCCGCACCCCTGCGAGGACGAGCAGGAAGCCCTTCCGCCGCATCGGGCAGGGTGACGGGCCGGCCTGCCGAGGGAGAAGGCCACGTGCCTGTCTCACCCCAAGCCACCTGGCTGCTGGAGCAGCAACCCCCCACCCCCCGCCCCGGGAAGCGCTCCCCGACCCCTCCGGTAAGAAGACAAGATGGCCCCACCCGGGTGCCCCCACGTCACCCAGGACAACACCCTGAACGTAAGATGCTCATAAAGTATTTATTCAAAACCATCGGCAAACAGTGGGGAACTGCACACAGCACAGGGGGCGCCTTCCCAGCAGAACAAGCACATGGTGCCACGTGCTCTGACTTTTCCCTCATCATGGTTTTGATTTAGACGTTGTCCCAAAGACAGCAGTGAGAAACTAACCTTCTCTGATCGGCCCCCAAAAAGCCTTCGAGCCAGCAGCTTGCCCGCTTGCACGGCGACCGGGGTGAGCCGCGGCTTGCCCTCCAGGACGTCCCCGACAGCGTAGACGTAGGGCACACTGGTCTGTTCCTCGTCGTTTACCAGGATCTTGCCCGTCCTATTGCGTTCGGGGAAGAATAAATATACCAGAACTGACTCTGCACTGCTGGAAGCAGACTCTCTTCCAGGAAAAGAAAGAGGCAGACAGGAAGACCCCACCAGGCGTTCGTGTGCCTCTGTCACCAAGCGTCCCTGGCCCCACGGCTCAGACAAACTGCTGCCTGCTTTCTGAGCGCTGAGGACAGCACCAGGCCTCCCCCAGAGTCGAACATACTGCTTTGGAATTTTCCTCCTTGCCTGATCAAGGACAGACAAATTCATTCTAAACCACAGAAAGTGGATGCATACATTTCCACAATTATTTTTTATAAGTAACTGCTTAATACCTGAAATATTTAAGGAAAATATTAACAGTTATCAACTGATTAATGAAATAACTGATAATACAGAGCTGACACATCGCTTACTACAAAATAAATTCAAAGCATCTCAGTAATTAAGTCAGAATTTCCCAGGGGCGATCTGTGGGAACACTGAGCTTTGAGCAGGGCTGGGCGCTAACACCAGGGAACGTACTTCTCACTGATGTTCACACCAATCTTCTCCAGCCCTAACTTCTTTGTACAGGAGTCACGACCAACTGCTAACAAAACCTGTGTTTAGAGAGACGGCAGAAACACAGATCATCAACACCAGGAATGAAAACAAGAACATCACGATGAATCCTTCAGATGATGACAGGAGAACAACAGAATGTCATCAACAGCCTATGCCAATCAATTTGACAGTTTACATAAAATAGATGCCTTCAAAGAGAGACTTTACCAAACTTACACCCACATGACTCTGAGTAGCCCTACGGCACAGGACGCACTGTGCCCCCTCCCCTAATTCATGCCGAGGCACTGACCCCGAAGACCTCGGAATGAGACTGTATTTGGAGATGGGCCTTTACAGTGTTGATTAAGGTACAACAAGGCTATTGTTGTTCAGTCAAGAAGTCTTGTCTGACTCTTTGTGACCCCATGACCTTGTAGCCCGCCAGCCTTATAGCCTCTGTCTATGGAATTCTCCAGGCAAGAATACTGGAATGGGTAGCCATGCCCTTCTCCATGGGATTGAGCCCTTGTCTCCTGCATTGGCAGGCGGACTTTTTACCACTGAGCTACCAGGGAAGAGTGGTCCTAGTTCAGAACATAACAGAGAACCCCGGATGAGGTTCCTCTCAGCTCTGGGGGTCAGACTCCTGAGACCAAGAGTCCACAGGTCAGTCTCCTCTGAGGCCTCTCTCCTTGGAGTGCAGATGGTCACTTTCTCCCTGTGACCCCATGTGATCAACCCCTAGATGCCATGGCAGCTCAAGCAGATGAAGGGCTTCATACTCACAGAGACTGAATCCATGGTGTATAAACTCCATGAGTCAACTCTAGAGCCAGGTGACCTTGTTAGTAAAGTGTATGTGACACTTAGGAAAAACACCGATGATACACAAAGCCTCCAGGACAAGAACAAGGGACAACAGGGCCTGTTTGTAAGGTGTGAACGTCTGACACAAGGCCAGACAAGGGCAGTAAAAAGAAAAGAAAATTGAAGAGGACAGCCCTGGTGGCTCAGCGGTTAGGAATCCACCTGCTGATGCGGGCACATGGGTTTTCCTGGTCTGGGAAAGCCCACGTGCCGAGGGACAACCAAACCCTGGGCCACAGCTGCTGAGTCTGAACGCTCCAGGGCCCGCGTGCCACAACGGAAGAGGCCCCTGCAGTGAGAAGGCCGCACACGGCGGGAAGAGCAGCCCCACGTGCCGCCACCAGAGAATGCCTGCACACTGAGACAGAGACCCAGCGCGGTGAAACACTGATAATTTAAAACCAAAGAAAATCAGGAGCCAACACTCCCCATGAGCGCAGACGCCAGACATTTAACGGATGCCAGCAAATAAAACAGAGCAACATAAATAAAGGATAATTGATCGTCACCAAGTATTTCGGGCTTTGTCCCAAAATACAAATCTGGTTTAACATACTAAAACCAATCAATGGAATTCATCATTTGAACAGAATAAAAAATAAAAAAACTTACTCATCCCAATAGAAGCTGGGACAGCATTTGACAAAACTAAGCACCCTTGAGGATTTCAATAAAAGCCTCAGTGCTCTCGGACTAGAAGCACGCGTCCCCAGCCTGACAAAAGGATCTGCAGAACCCCAAGGGCATACACACTCACAGCGGAGAGAGGCTGCCTCACTCACCCTGAGACGGGAGACCCTCACAGTCTCTGTTCAGCACCACATGGACGTCTTAGCCAGGGAAATGAGGCAAGAAAAGGAAATAAAATGCACACAGACTGGAAAGAAGAAACAAAACTACTTATTTAGGCAGAACAAATCCTAAGAAGGTCAATACAGAAAAATCATTTGTATTTCTATGTACTACCAACTAACCACTGAATATTTAAAAATTTAAAATATCATTTGCAGAAGGTTAAAAATATGAAATACCTACACTTAACAGAAACATGAAAGACCTCCAGAGAAAAATGATAAAATGTTGCTGAGAGAAACTAAAGAACTTGTAAACATAATAAATGGAAAAAATATAGAGGTTCATATACAGGAAAAATCAATGCTGTTAATTTAAGATGTCAGTTTTACCAAATTCATCTTCATAAGCAATACAATCTCAGTCAAAATCCCAGCACTTCTTTGAAATTGGAAAGCTGGTTTTAAATTTACGTGGAGGAAGCAACCTAAGTGTCCATGGACAGACGGATGGATAAAGAAGATGTGGTGAACATAGACAGCGGAATACTACTCAGCCAAGAAAAAGACATCATGCCACGGCAGCAACATGGATGGACAGAGGTCATCACGCTAAGTGAAGGAAGTCGGACGAAGACAAGTGTCACCTGGTGTCACTTATATGCAGAATCGTAAAGAAATGACACAAATGAGCTTCTTCACAGAGACGCAGACCCACAGACACAGAAAACAGACTCAGGGTCACCAAAGGGGAAAGGGCAGGAGGGGGTGAATTAGAGGTTTGGGGCTAACAGATACACAGGGCTATATATTAAGTAGATAATTAACAAGGACCTACTGTATAGCACAGGAAACTATTCAATATCTTCTAATAACCTATAATTGAAAGAGAATCTGCAGAAGAACTAGCCACCAACACACATCACACAGACGGACCCTGAGGGGTGAGGACGGCACGGCTCCAGATCAGCCATGACTCAACAGGAAAAGCTGGCAGAAAAAGAGCAGCCTTAAACAGTCCTTTGACTGTTAAAGAAAACTGAACATATCTTCACTGAACATTCTAGGCCCACTCTATTAAACATGCAAGGCTGTATGCTGTCACCCTGCTTATGTAACTTCTATGCAGAGTACATCATGAGAAACGCTGGGCTGCATGAAGCACAAGCTGGAATCAAGACTGCCGGGAGAAATATCAACAACCTCAGATATGCAGATGACACCACCCTTATGGCAGAAAGTGAAGAAGAACTAAAGAGCCTCTTGATGAAAGTAAAAGAGGAGAGTGAAAAAGTTGGCTTAAAACTCAACATTCAAAAAACTAAGATCATGGCATCGGTCCCATCAGTTCACGGCAAATAGACGGGGGAAAAGGTGGCAACAATGACAGGTTTTGTTTTCTTGAGCTCCAAAATCACTGCAGATGGTGACTGGTCATGAAATTAAAAGATGCTTGCTCCTTGGAAGAAAACCTATGACAAATCTAGACAGCACATTAAAAATCAGAGACATCACGCTGCCAACAAAGGTCTGTGTAGTCAAAGCTATAGTAGTCTTGTACACACGTGAAAGCTGGGCCACCAAGAAGGCTGAGCACCGGAGAACTGATGCTTCTGAACTGTGCTGCTGGAGAAGACTCCTGAGAGTCCCTTGGACCGCAAGGAGATCCAACCAGTCCATCCTAAAGGAGATCAACCCTGAATATTCATTGGAAGGACTGATGTTGAAGCTGAAACTCCAATACTCTGGCCACCTGATGCAAAGAACCGACTCATTGGAAAAGACCCTGATGCTGATAAAGACTGAAGGCAGGAGGAGAAGGGGATGACAGAGGATGAGATGGTTGGATGGCATCACTGATTCAATGGACGTGAGTTTGAGCAAGCTCCAGGAGTTGGTGATAGACAGGGAAGCCTGGCAAGCTGCAGTTCCTGGGGTCCCAAAGAGTCAGACACAATTTATCAACTGAACAAAAACAACAATTCTGGTAGTACATAAATGCTTCTAGAGAATAGAAAAAGAAGGAACATATTCCAGACTTCTTTCATGAGCTAGAATAACTTTGGTATCAAAATCTGGGCAGTTCAATATGTGAAAGGAAAATTATAAGCCAATATAATTCATGAATATAGATACAAAAATTTTAAGTGGCCAAATCTAGCAACATAAAAGAAGAACCACTGTCAGGAAGCCTTGAACAAGAGGCTCCTGGGTGCTGTCTGGATCTGTCAGGCGCCCTCTGGGCCTTATCGATTCCTGAGCATTCAGGAATGAAGAGAAGAGGCGCGCCTTTCCCGGGCGGAGGAATCCAGGCATTTCTCTTTACGGGGATAAGTACCCTCTTCCTTTTTACGAGCCAAACGGTAAAAGGTGATTGTTTGCAGCTCTCCCTTTGATAGGGATGTCTCATGTTTTGTAACGCTGGAATTTTAATCTTTATCTTTTGTGAGAATAACCACCTTGTCAGACAGTATATATGCACACACCACGTTGATTAAAACACCTTTGCTCCATCAGAGCTTGGGTCCCCGTGTCTGTCTTTCTATTCTCTCTCTCTCTCTCTCTCTCTCTCTCTCTCTATTTCTGGCTAATTCCTTGGAGCGTGGAGGCCCACTGAGCTCACTTTCTTGCCCGGGCTTCTAAGACCCTCTCGAGAAGGCGCCCTGTGCCTTCACCCACTCGAGAGGCGCCCGGTGCCTACGCGCAGCAACGCGAGCCCTGAGAACAGGACTCTATTGGCTTTTCGCGAAACCAGGGGATGTCAGCCTCTTCCTCTCTCTTACTTTCTTATCGTCGACTCCGGACCACCAGGTTCCGGTCCATTAAAGGACCAAGAAACCACTCATTATCCAGTTGGATTTACACCAGTAATATAAAGTTGACTGTAAATCAATGTAATGCAACACACTAACAGATTAAAGAAAAAAAATAATCATTAACAGCCACAAAAGGAACATTCTTACAGCTGAACACCCACTTCTGACTTTTAACAAACAAAAAACCAAAATAACAACAACAACAAAAAACAACTTAGCAAACAAAAATAGAAAATGATTTCTTTACCATGGTTAAGAATATCTACCAAAACCCTATGGAAAACCTTACTCTCTAACCATGAAACATGAAAACCTCCCTCCCGACCCAGAGAACAAGGCTGGAGTGTCTAGGTCTGCATTTCCCGTCAACACTGCCTGGGGGGCCGCGGCCGGTGCCCTCACGCGGGAGAAAGGAAGAAGAGGAAGCAGTCGACAGAAGGGAGGGAGCCCTTGCCACGAATGCCTAACAAAGACGCCGCCTCACCATCTCGGGGCACCTGATCAAACGGGCTCAGCGGGATCCCCGAGTGCTAAACCGGGTCCCACAACTAAGCAGCCTTTCTATTTACCAGCAACAGGCTGTGAAAGACAGTGACACTTTTTCAAAAACACCATTTGTAACTATACAGAAACATGTACATACCTAGGAATAAATCTAACAGAAGATGTTCTTGAGGTCTATAGAGAAATGTACTAACTTTGCTGGGGGCTATTACAGACGGCCTAGGTCAAAGGGCAGACGTACCATGTACTGTAAGCCTGGATACTGCAGAATCAAGTGCTTCTACCTGATTACACATCCATTACAACCCTGATCAAAATCTCAACAGGAGCTGGTTCGTATGTTTGTTTTCCTTAAACCTATCTTTGGCTTTGGTCATCCTCACAACATCATTCACTTTTAGTTGAAAAAAATCATGCTGTTAGAGTATATGAAACATAAATGAATAGTTTGATCCAGGTTAGCGATAAACTACAGTTTACACAAGAAATGCTGGTGTCTGATTTGCATGAGTTTGAGTTATGACTGCCACCCAGGGGTCCGTGGACTACTCACACTGTTTGGAGATTTGACATAGCTTGTTTTTGTTGCTTCTGATTATAAAATATAATCGATGCTTATTGCAAAAACAGTCAAATGCAGAAATGTGTAAGACATCTAACTCCCCAGAAGTGAGCAGCAGAAGCAGGCAGGCACAGCTGCTTCCAGGCTTCCCATGCAGCTCATCTGGTAAAGAATCCGTCTGCAGTGCAGGAGACCTGGGTTTCATCCCTGGGTTGGGAAGATCCCCTGGAGAAGGGAATGGCTCCCCACTCCAGTGTTCTGGCCTGGAGAACTCCATGGACTGTATCACCCACAGGGTCGCAAAGAGTCGGACACGACGGGCGACTTCCAATCACGCCTGCTTCCAGATTTTGTTCCCTGCACAGTTACGCACACCTGCATATTTCAGCATCGTATTCTTCGTGTGCCACCAAAAACCATCAAATATCAACAGCTCAACACATTCCACATGTACTAGAGTCTCACAGAAAGTCAAAAAGTCAACGCTGGTATCATCTCCCCTCGTGTTTCATCTGCGCAAATGCATGAGCGTGTCCGTCCACCCGCTGCTCGCCCGGCGGACGCTCACCGTGTTGTAGATGCCCTCGACCGTCTCTGTCCCTTCCGTGGATTTAGCCACTACCTTCAGCCTCCCGGGCAGGCCCTTCTCCAGCTGCTGGACCTGCCGAGGATGGACAGTGCGCGGATTCTCTCCGCGGGGGACACAGAACAGGGGGGCGCAGGGCGTGCGTGTGTGCAGGCGGTGTGTTCCATCTGCAAGGAGCAGACGGAGGGAGGAGGACCGGCCCGAGGGTGGTTGAGGGAGAGACAAGCCCCTGGGTGAGCGGGAAGAGCGGACGGCACCGACCGTGTGCACCGGGGGACCGCCTCCCGAGGATGGAGACAGCCCAGGACGGAAGCGGGAGGACACGGGGCGGGAAGTCAGGAGCTTTGTTTTGTCTTGTTGCATTTAAAACATGGAGAGGAATTCCGACGGAGAGGCCCAGCAGGCGGCTCTATAGGTGGGTGTGCACTGAGGCGGCTGCTAGCAGAGCCGTCAGCACTGAGCTGTGGCTTGTGCGCGGGGGTGGGGGGCACAGCTGGCACTGAGGCTCAGGGTGGGCGCCCCGCCCTCAGGGCCCCTGGGGCGCGGCACGGATGAGGGTGACACGAGAGGAATTCCGACGGGGAGGCCCAGCGGCACGGGCGAGGGCGACACGAGGAGCCCAGGGGGGCCGCTCCCTCCTGGGGATGGCGGTCGAGGCAAGGACTCGACACCCCCACTGCAGGGGGCACAGGTTCGGCGTCCTGCATGCCTCAGGAGTTTTGGACGGGGGCACAGGTTCGGCGTCCTGCATGCCTCAGGAGTTTTGGACGGGGGCACAGGTTCGGCATCCTGCATGCCTCAGGAGTTTTGGACGGGGGCACAGGTTCGGCATCCTGCATGCCTCAGGAGTTTTGGGCGGGCCGGGACTCACCTGCACGGGCACGAACTTGCGCAGGAAGCGCACGCCGAGCTGCTGCATGGAGGCGCCCACGCGCTCGGCCATGTCCCGGTCGAAGCCCCGCAGGAGGACCGAGCGCACCATCACCGTGACCTCCAGGCCCAGGCCGGCCAGGAAGCCCGCGCACTCCAGCGCCACGCAGGATGCACCCACCACCAGCGTCGCGCCCGGGCAGCAGGGCAGCGAGAGCAGGTCGTCGCTGCAGAGAGAAGGGCCTCCACGTGGGACGGCGCCGGGGAGCGCGGGTGTGCCCCCTCGGAGGAGGACGTCCAGCCAGGTGACTGGAAATCAAACGGGGCCACGTGCAAAGCCTCTGTTGGGTGTTCACCTCAACAGCCACACAGTGAAAAATGTATTTCTTAAACTGCATCTGGTCGTGAAAGTGTGCAATCGTCCTACTTTATACATCGAGGTCACAGGTCCTCTTCACAACTGTCCACTGGGAATTCCTGTTGAATCCCAGCATTCTCCTAGTCACCTGGTCCATCACTATCGCACAGACATGAAACCCTGAAGCTAACGGCATTGGCTGCTTCGCTCTGGGCTCCAGCAAGTGTGAACCAAAGCCCAGACTCAGTCTCCTGCCTGGAGGCCTGGAGACACCCCGTGTGCATCTGTCCTCTTAGCGCTGCCTGTGTGCCCTTCCACTGTCGTCAACGCAAATCTCTTGTGAAAGGAGACAGGGAGCGAACACTCTGGAGACACAAATGTAATGCAACTTACAGGCAGATGGCCTAGTTAACCCCACCTGGTGATACAGTACTCTTTGTCTCCCTGGATTCCCAAGTAGCGCGGCCTCTCTCCCGTCGCGATGACAAACTTGGCAGCGGTATAAAACGCCTCCTGTCCTTTTTCATTGGTTGCCTTGAAAAAAGCAAAGCAAACATCACTTTTCATCTGGTACCAGAGTGGTCGGACCCCAGGATACTCACACATGAGCCGCAGGACGCTCACACACGGGCGGCAGCCCTCCACGTGGACCATGGAGCCCGGGTTCCCGGGGTGCAGGCAGAAGTAAGGGGGGCGACCAACGGGGCCAAGGCCCGACTGACCTTGACTTTGTGGTGCTCGACAAACTCCCCATAGGAGTTGACGTAGGTCACTGCCTTCTCCCGCAGAGCCAGCCGGTGGCCCCAGCTCAGCGAGCCGATGTGGCTCTGGATGGCCTCAGTCATGGTGGCCCAGCTGTGCTTCACTGGGGAGAGACCGGGGGCGGGTGGGCGTGAGGGGTGCATGGCCGCTGTGAAGTCACACACCGCACACACGCATCCATTGCTTTAAGGATCCAGAAGTGAACAGAAGATAATCAGCAAGAAGCCTTTTTATGCCAGTTACAGCCGCCATGGCTTCCCCGGTGGCTCAGACGGTAAAGTGTCTGTCTGCAATGCAGGAGACCCAGGTTCAATCCCTGGGTCGGGAAGATCCCTTGGAGATGGAAGTGGCAACCCAAGCCAGTATTCTTGCCTGCAGAATCCCATAGACAGAGGAGCCTGGCAGGCTACAGTCCATGGGGGTGCAAAGAGTCGGACACGACTGAGCAGCTAACACACACGGCTTCTTTCATATTACAAACATGTAGAAAGCATAGTTCTGAACATGATGAAAATCCACGGAGTGGGGTGGGAAACAGCCCTCCCACAGCCAGCCCCAGGATCTATCTACAGGTGGGACACGGGTCCCCTGCGGGCAGGGCTGTGACAGTGAACACCGGAGCAGAGACGAGAGGTCACCCACTTCCTGCTGAAGCCAGGGAGAGGCTGGTGGAGTCAAGGCTCCTCCTTACTCCTGCGTCGGCCAGCGGGGCTCATTTCCTGGAATCACCCCATCTGCTGATGCCCCCCAGGGAAACACTGGTCCAGGGTCCCATCAAGCTGGGTGAGACCCCCAACCACAAACCCGGCTGACTGGGGGTTCACCCTTGGTCCCATTTGGACCCTGACCCTCCAGTGCTCTCAGAGACCCACCCACCAGGCTGAGGGACCCCAGAACACAGGGGAGGACAGAGGTCACTGTGCGTGGGGACTTGGACGACGTCAGCGATTATGGCCCAGACGTCACATCACCCTTCCCACAGTCTCAGCAACAGGACAACAGGTCTACGACCGTGTGGTCCAGACGGTCAGTCTGGTGACTGTGTTCCCTGACCCCACGCCTGTGATCCCGGGGTGACGACCACCACTGACTAGCTCTCCGCCGGGCTCATGTCCTCCGCCAGCCCCTCTCTCCAGACAGGCCAGGCTCCTGGGCCTCAGAGAACCATGCGTCTCATGGCCCCGGGGACCTCTGCTTCTGGTTTGCGTAAAAGACATTCTCAGAAGTTCCACAACATGCCTGCATGTTGGCACCCCTAGAAGCGGGCTGAGATACACGGCTCCTGGGGACTCCCCGCCCCAGACCTGCAGAGTCAGAAGCAGGACCACGGAGGCTGGGCACCTTAGAAGGTCCCCGGGGCCCTGACGGGGCAGGTCCACAGAAGACCCACTCCACTGTGTCACCCATCTGCTCGGCCGTGTCACAAGCAGCAACGGCATCTTAAATTCAGATGGAAAAGTTGCTCCTCTTTCCTAAAAGGTGGCACAGCTACCCTCACACATTTACTTTTCAATACGAACTGAGAAAAACCTGTCCAGTTCCAAAAAGAAAAAAAAAATTCTGACATTTTTCCTTGGACTTTAAATAAACCTTACGAAATAACTCTGAGATAATGTCTTCACAATATGCAAACATTCCCTCCAAAATCAGAGCATAGTTTTCTTATGCTTTCATACTTCCTTGTATGTTTTGTACTAGTGGAGTGTCTTCCAAGTCCTTGTATCATTTTTGTTGTGATTTCCATTACTCCATTTGCTGTCAGTTATTACTGCTGGTACAGAAGTTCTGCACACTCTTCTCAACAGCTGTCCAACCTCATCCACTCACGTCCCCATTCACTGTTCCGTGTGTTCCAGGCCTGCCACACTCCTCTGCCTTCTCACACGTGCTCAGAGGCCCCTGGACCACCTCCATGCCAACGTGAACACCACTCCACCCTGCTCCATCCAGCCTGCCTGCGGCGTTCCACCCAAGTCAGCGCTCTCCTTAGACTCAAGTTCTAACTCCTGCCCCAAAAGCTCCCACACCCTCTGCTATGCGTCTGGGATGGCCGGGGCTGCAACATCCCTTCCCCAGCCCTAAGGCCCTGACAGGAGGTCTGCACTGACCATCTTGGAATCCTGGGTCCAGCTGGCACATGTGAGTGCCTAACAAGTGTTTATTAAACTAACGTAAAAGTCAACTACAGAAACAGAAAGAGCAAGCATTTCTAAGAAACCTATTCTTCTTTCCCCCGAGTATGAACTGTTTTACGCATCACCCACCTTGCTGACTGTATTCCCAGCCGAACTTCCTCGAGTCAGTCAGCGCCTGCCCTAGCAGCGCGGCCTGGTGCATCAGCTTCTTCGGGATACAGCCAACATTCACACATGTGCCACCAAGACCTGAGTGAGACAGCCAGAGCTGTGAGGCTGTATGTGCATGTGTGTGTGTTCATGTGGCTTATACACATGCAGAGTGGGCACTATTAAAACGTGGAAACAACAGACTTGACAACTGTGGGGTCACCATCACACACCATAACACAAAATGATTTGTGTTATGGTGACCGAGGGTCAAACTTGCTGACTGAGAGGGTCCCTGCAGGAGGCCTGGGAATGAGCAAATTCCGACGTGCATTTGAACAGTTTCCTGGGGACAGAATCCAAGACTTCCACCTGAGTCCCAACCACGAGGTAGTCAGAACTGGGTCAGGCTAACCGGGCACATGCTGCACTGAGGCCAGGCAGGGCCAGCCTCCAGCCTTTTCCTGGGGAACCCTGACTGCTCTGGGCTGGTACCACCTGCCGCAAGCCGCCTGGACTCTCACCAACACGGGGTGAGACAGACACTCACATCAGTGCCCTCCGAGAGCGCGTGCCCCTGGAAACCAGGAGGGAGGGCTGTGCCCGGGATGGGGAGGGGGCAGGAGGAGGAGGACAAGTGTGTACCAAACAGACTTGGGGTGAGCACACATTAATTCAACTGACCTTCCTGCAGCCAGGGTGTCAGTTATAAAATCGATGCAGAAACACAGAAAAGCGTCACGGCCACCCTAGATAAGCATGATGGGGTACACCCCGCTCCGAGGCCACAACTGCATGAAACACCCCCGTGTGGGTGCAAAGTTATCCTGGCAGACGTGGTGGGACACTCGGGGCGTGGAATTTCCCTTTGCAAGATCCTCCTTAATCTCTTTTGTGTTATCGTTCTGCCATCTCCTCTTGTTAACACATGACCGGGGACGGTGTCCTCAGCCCGAGGCAGGCGGGCCACCCTCTGGGGCTGCGGTGAGGACCGCGGGAGACTGACGAGAACCAAAGAGAACAAGCCCCTGACAACAGCAGGGGGCCGCTCACCCCAGGACGCGCCCCGGGGGGACGGGACCACGAAGTCCAACAGCATGACCTTCTTCCCCAGGACGGCGGCTTCCTGCAGACGGGGACACGCGGGGACCTCGTCACTCCTGACCCTGCCCTGAAGGGTGGGGCGCGCCTGTGCTGAGGCACGGCCTCCCCTCTCGGCTGGCCCAGCCACGGAGCAGCAGCGGTGCGGACTGGAACGGCCTAAGTACCAGCGGCAGAAGGGAGGCTTAAGGCGATCGCCGGGAAGACCATCCACGGGGGTTGCTTCTTCTCACCTGAGCGCACGAGAGGCCCCCAGAGCCCCCGCCGATGACGATGAGGTCGTAGTCGTACGCTGGGTCCTGCTGGAGGAGCTGCTGTAATAAACCACTCTGATGTGCCTGGGGGGAATCAAAGGACAGAACACGGCACGACCATGCTGACTCAGGGCACACGGCCTCTATAGAAACCTCAGGGACAGCTGACCTGCAGTGCAGGTAAGCCAGACTGTGCATTTATCTGGAGAGTGTTCAGTTGGGCCCAACTAGTCAGACCGACGCCAGAGCAGACATAGGCACTGGTTATCACCCAACAGTGAGGCACATGTCCGATGGCGGAGAGGTTGGGCCTTGTCCCACGTCAGACAAGCTCGCTCCGCAAGCAGCTCTCTTGGCCCTTTCTGCTGGCTCACCTCTGTTCTCCTCAGACCTTAATCATAAAGGTGAACCCAATAGGTGACACTTAGCCTGGCCCCTGACTCCTGCTCTACTAGAGGTACACACACCTTGCTAAGCGGTGGATTCCCTTCCTGGGTTAAAAGGTATAAAAAAGCATGAAGAACTGACTAGTTAAAGACTGAGTGACTCACACGCCCTCCCCTCAGCAAGCGTGCAGGTGGGCTGAGAGGGCCCGACAGCGTGCCAAGTAGGACTGGAGGTGTCAGCGGGTCTGCACACGATGCAAGACAACAGAGAAGCTGACCTCCTACCTTAGCGATTAACTGAGGTTATTACCGCTTTCCCCTTTAAAAACGTCCATGGCCCAGCGGAATCCTGCAAGCTGCTTCTGGGACGTGGGTCCCCTTCTCCCCAGATGCTGGCTTTTCTGACTGAAGCGACTTTCCTTTCGACCAGCACTTGGTTCTGAGGACGGCTGGTGAGGGGCGAGCACATGAGCCTGACTGAAGCCCAGGAGCGGCATCCTCTGCCTGCGTCCGCACTGGCCTTCTCTGCAAACAGTGCTCACGCGTCACCGGCGGGACGTGCATGGGGGGCTTTTCCCTGATTTTTCGTAAGTTGACCGAAATCTTGCAAGTTCCTGTGCAGCATGAGCCTTCTGCTCCGTCCACTGGGAAAGGTCAGGGCTGACCCGGAGGCACAAGCTGCTGTCCCCATGGCCCTCCCTGTGGCCAGAAGCAGCGTGGACAAGGCCGGAGGCTCCACGTTGAGACTGAGCAGCTCTGTCTGTGCGAGGTCGGCTGCTCGGTCATCACGCTGGCTCCAAGCCGGCGCGTCCTGCGAGTGCCGTGTGAGGGCTGCAGGACCACAGACCCGGGGAGGCCGCGTGGCCCCGGCCGGCGGCCCCCTACCCTCGGGTGCTCTTAAGGGGGTCCACCCCGCACAGAGCTGCCGCCCAGGGCCGAGGAGACCTGGCGTCTCTGTAGCCCTTGTGCCGGGCCTTTGCTGCTGCGCAGGCTTCCTCCAGGCGCAGACATCAGGGGCTGCTCCCCAGCTGCGGGGAGCGGGCTTCTCACTGCAGGGCTTCTCTTGTCAGGGAACACGGGATCGAGGTGCTGGGGCCCTAGAGCCCGAGCAGTAGTTGCGACTCACGGGCTTAGTTGCTCTGCGGCGTGTGGGCTCTTCCCGGACCAGGGATCGAACCTGTGTCCCCTGCATCGGCAGGCAGGTTCTGAGCAAAGGTACCACTGGTGAAGTCCCAAAAATACAATTCTTAATTGAATCTAAACCTAAGTATTCAATCCATCACCACTGATGATTACCAATTGTATACATATATAAAGGATCTAGGAGCAGAGTTTGATAAAAGCAAACAGCTAGTTAAAACAAGGCCCTTATTACACATCGATTCTTATCTGTCTCTATGTAACCGAGTGATTCCTGTTCATTTCTGCATTCCAGGAACCAAACAGAGTTTCACAAAGCTCGCGGGGCCAGCAGCCATGGTGGGAGAGCCGTGCTCCCTGGGCTGGACTGCCAGTGCTGACCTCATTTCCCTAAACCTCAAGGCGGGAGGAGGCCTCGTTTGTCGCCATTTGGAGGGAGAGAGCAGGGCAGCCCACCCTCTGTCCTCCAACCTCACTCAAAACCTTCTCCTTCTCAGCATTCAAAGTTTTAATTGGTAGAAAAGCTAATTTCTCTTAGAGTAATCACGATTATCTGATAATCATCCTACAGTGCTTAATCACTCAGTCATGTCTGACTCTTTGGGACCCCATGGACTGTAGCCTACCAGGCTCCTCTGTCCACAGGATTTCCCAGGACAGGATACTAGAGTGGGCTGCCATTTCTTCCTCCAGGGGATCTTCCCAACCCAGGGATCGAACTCGGGTCTTCCACATTGCAGGCAGATTCTTTACCATTCTCTACCATGTGAGCCACCGGGGAAGCTTTCAATTTTACCAGCTCCAAAAGACACAAATGAACAGACCTGTGAAAACCATTTCCACCTCTCTGAAATATTTTCTTAAAACAAAATTTGGACAGACAGTCTTCAGAAACACACGGTACTATTTACCTGGAAAGTGTGGTCACAACCACCCACGTGCACTTTATTCACAAAGATACTGGGCACAGTCCTCTGGTTGGTGATCTCTGAGAGAACCTCCTGGACACTGGCCCCCTCATCTAAGGAATAAAAGATCAAAGGCGTTAAGACCCTGCCAAGGTTCCGAGGCGCTGCAAGCCGAGCTGAAGTGCTGTGACACTCAGAGGCCCACGTGCGCGTCGTCAGCGTCACGAAGCGATGACTCAGGGGTTCAAAGGGAGCTGTACAGAATAAAGAGCAGACTCCTGACTCCTTTTAAAATGGACACTTTCAAATTAGGATCTGATCTATAATCCACTGGCCAGGCAGAGACAGATAGGAATCGTCTTTAAAGAACAAACATGACATATGCTCTAGCGGTGGTAACACAGAAAATATATCCAACAATTACATTTGAAAAAATCTTTATGCTCATAGTCCAAAACATACCCTCCACTCCTAAAAACTGAACTGGGCCCTCAGTCCTTCAGGCTCCCCGTGTGGTAAACTCTTCAGCAAAGTCTCAAAGATTCAAGGGCATTTCACTTATTAAAGCAACCTGGCTAAAGAGAGGGGTGAAGTTTCGTGAAGGCAGAGATTGGGCTTTTTGTTTTCCACGCACACCCGTGGAAAGTGCACGGGATCAGAAGCAGGAAAGCGGGAACACTGGTGCGCCTGCCCTCCTGGGGCTGCGCTCAGGAGGTGGGCAGATACGCCTCGTTCTGTTACAATGTCCTCTAGGCTTCTGGACAGCGGGCAGACATGCCTGAGGACCGCCAGCACTACCGTATATGGCTGCCTTCCACTCGCCCCTCAAATGCAGACAATGTACACAAAAAATCGACGCAAAGTATTTCCACATACAGGTTCATCTTCTGGGGGTTCAAGGTAGGTGAAATCAGCTCACTGAACCCAAAGAGACGGGAGCAAACTGAACTGAACGAGGCAATACAAGAAAACAAGTCAATCTTGTGGACGCTGATTACAAACAACAGGTACAAACCATTCTACTACTTACCAACTTGATCAAGTTCCAAGATGTTACAGTCAACTCCCAGAGAAGAAAAGAGTTCTTTAACCTGCAAGGAAAATGCACCTGCGTTCTCCTCTTGCAGAGACCAGACACAGCTATGAAGTGTGGGCAAAGTAGCAGGGACGCTCAAGTATGCCCTTCAGGAATGCGAGCCTCGGACCACGTTTTCTCCTGTGGAGCACCTTGCCAGAACGACCTCAGTCCGCCCCTCCCCTTCTTTTACAATCTTCTGTCTCACTTCCGGATCTGCACCTTTCACTCAAGCCTCTTCTGGAACTGAAGACAAGCAGCACTCCTCCGGCCGGGCGGCCCTGGACACCTCCCGGGGAGCCTGCCCCACACCAGATCCACCTGTGTCCACATGCCTTTTCCTGTTTTCTTTCAACAGTCATTAGACCAGCCAACCGCCACACACCCAGGATGGCTCGTCCATCGTTCCACATGCTCAACATACAGGACACCCTCCCTGCCTGGGAGGAGGGGAGGCGGATGTGCCCGCCCTGTCACCATTCGCCAGCTGCCTGAACACAGAGCCCTGGGCCCTACCACTCCGACAGGGGGCCAGCAGGGGGCGTCACCAGGAGCTGGTCCGTGACTAGGAGAGTTCAGAACCCCTCCTGCAGCCTCTTCCTGTCCCACACCTACTCCCCACCCACCCGGTCAACTACTAAGTCTCCACAGTGCTCTGCATGGAGCCCCCCACAGTTGATCTCCTGAGCCGGCAAGACCTTCCACAGGAAATTCTCGGTCACCTCCTGGGAGCTCTCCAGTTGCCGCCGCCGAGGTCGGAGCCCACCGTCAGCAGGACTCCCGCCCTTTGGCGACCTGAGCCCTCGAGGGGAAGCCGAGGGGCTCCGGCTCCAGGACAGAGGCGCGAGGGTCTTGGCCGGTGTGCCCCTGGCAGATGTCCACGGCTGGTGAGAGCTGATTGAAAAGGGCCACTGAAGTCTCTCAAAGTTGAGGGCACACAGCAAATGAGGCAACGCGTGTTCAAGAGAATCTACTAGATTCTCTTGAGTGGGGAGCCTGAGGGACCCGTCTTCTGCCCCTGAGCGTGATGGAGGGACCACTGCAGGTGGCTGCGGCCAAGGGGTCGAGGTGCCCGGTTACCCGGGATCCCAGCCGCCCCAAGGCTGGGCCGTTGCCATTTCTATCGCTCAGGTCAGAGTAATACACCAGGCTGTATTACTGGTGAGTGTGGCAGCAAGGGAAAGCTCCCCTCCTGCACCACCTCATTCATAGCTCAGAGTTTCTGGCCCAGGCGAAAACGGCAGGGCCCTGATCATGCTGCCCGGCCCACTGGCAGGGCAGGGCTCCGGGCTGGGAGAGGCAAGCCAAGGAGACCAGAGGCTACTGCCCTACCAGAGCCGCTCATAAAGCAGGCTGTCCCAAGGGAAGTGGGTCCGCACCCCACCTCTGGAGCGAGGTCTCAGAGGCCACTCGGGGCAAGGGGGAAACCACAAGATTAGAGAGCGCCGAGCTCCACCCTAAGAAACTGATCCTCTGACATGGGCTGCGGGGCAGCTCACGCCTACAAGTACAGCTGAGACAGCGGAGATGGTGTGACCGAGTCAGAGGATGCTAGTGGCTCCCTCCTGACAGCAGGCTAAACTGTGGGCTGCCAGTCGGCAGAAAGCAAGAAGGAGACGTCGGAGAACGGCCCTGCCAGGGTAAGAACAAACTGCAAATCTGCTCAGTAACGACCGCTGCAGAGGGGCCCTGGCTGGCGGCCACCTGGCATGAAGAGCCGACTCACTGGAAAGATGAGGGCAGGAGGAGAAGGAGACGACAGAGGACGAGATGGTTGGACGGCATCACTGACTCAACAGACGAGTTTGAGCAAGCTCTGGGAGATGGTGAAGGACAGGGAAGCCTGGTGTGCTGCCGTCCATGGGGTCACAGAGTCAGAGCGACTGAACAACAACAACACAGAACAATTTACATCCCAGGGCGCTGTCAGGAAAGCAGAGCATCTGAGCTGTAATCAGAGGAGTGTAACACCCAGGCATGACGCTGAGAGAGTCAGACAGTGTAACACAGAAGGCCAGCGAACACCTGTCACCCCAGAGTGGCTGCACAGACCCAAGGCCACACCTCCGAGGAGTGGAAACAGACTTCCTGAAAATAATCCATAAGAGATACACAAGCAAAAACTGGCCACAGAGAAGGATGGCTGTAGGGTCCAGAGCGGCTGTAATGCATTACCAGAAATGCCATGGTTCCAACAAAAAATGACCAGACACACAAAGAAACAGGACCGTGGGTCCACACACAAGAAGAAAGTGGAGAAGCTGCCACCGAGGGCCCAGACAGCGCGACGGACAGGCAGTCACCGTGTGAGCACGTTCGAGGAGCTCGAGCGAACCATGCTTCAGGGGGCACATGGAGAAGCACGATGGCAATGTCCCACCCAGCGGAAACACCAGTGCAAAGACAGGAATCATAGACAGGAACCAGCTGGGTAAGAAGCAATTATGGGAAAGTGCAATAGCTACAGTCAAAATTCCACTGTGGTGTCTCAACAGTAGACTCGAGCTGGCAGGACTTGCAGAACTGAGGACATCAGTGGAGAGTGTGCAGCCTCATGCCATAGAGGGAAAAGAGAAAGGACAGAAGCCTAGGGGAAAATGGGCCGGCATGAAGCACAACATACGGATGGCGTGATACCAGTAAGAGACAGAGGAAATAAAGTACAAGAATAATATTTGAAGAGATGCCCCCAAATATCCCAGATTTGATGAAAAAACAGTAATCCAAATATCCAATAAGCAAAATAATGGAGAAGACTCTTGAGAGTCCCTTGGACTGCAAGGAGATCCAACCAGTCCATCCTAAAGGAAATTAGTCCTGAATATTCTTTGAAGGACTGATGTTGAAGCTGAAACTCCAATACTTTGGCCACCTGATGCAAAGAGCTGACTCACTGGAAAAGACCCTGATGCTGGGAAAGACTGAAGGCAGGAGGAGAAGGGGATGATACAGGATGAGATGGTTAGATGGCATCAGTGATTCAATGGACATGAGTTTGAGCAAGCTCCGGGAGATAGTGAGGGACAGGGAGGCCTGGAATGCTACATTCCATGGGGTCACAGTGAGTTGGACACGACTGAACAACTGAACTGAACTGAACCAGTGAATTTTTGCAAAGTTGCAGGATACAAAATCAATACACAGAAATCAGTTGCATTTCTATATACTAACAATGAAAAATCAGAAAGAGAAAAATAAGGAATCACTCCCATTCACCACTGCAACCAAAAGAATTAAATATGTAGGAATAAACTTACCTAAGGAGACATAAGAACTGTACACAGAAAATTATAAGACACTAATGAAAGAAATTAAAGATGATGTAAACAGATGGAGAGATATTCCATGTTCCTGTGTAGGAAGAATCAATATTGTGAAAATGACTATACTACCAAATGCAATCTACAGATTCAATGTGATCCCTATCAAACTACCAATGACATTTTTCACAGAACTAGAACAAAAAATTCATATGGAAACACAAAAGACCCCGAATAGCCAGAGCAGTCTTGAGAAAGAAGAATGGAGCTGGAGGAATCCACCTTCCTGACATCAGATGATACTACAAAGCTACAGTCATCAGGACAGTGTGGTGCTGGCACAAATACAGAAATACAGACCAATGGAACAAGATAGAAAGCCCAGAAGTAAACCCATGCATCTATGGGTACCTTATTTTTGACAAAGGAGGCAAGAATATACAATGGGACAAAGACAGCCTCTTCAATAAATGGTGCTGGGAAAACTGGACAACTACATGTAAAAGAATGAAATTAGAACACTTACTAACACCATACACAAAGATAAACTCAAAATGGATTAAAGATCTAAATGTAAAACCAGAAAGTATAAAACTCTTAGAGGAAAACAGGCAGAACACTTGATGACATAAATCAAAGCAAGATCCTCTATGACTCACCTCCTAGAGTAACGGAAATAAAAACAAAAGTAAACAAGTGGGACCTGATTAAATTTTAAATCTTTAGCACAGCAAAGGAAACTATAAGCAAGGTGAAAAGAGAACCCTCAGAAATGGGAGGAAATAATAGCAAATTAAACAACTGACATAGGATAAATTTCCAAAATATACAAGCAGCTCATACAACTCAATACCAGAAAAGCAAACAACCCAATCAAAAAAAAAAAAAAAAGTGGGAAAAAGACCTAAGTAGACATTTCTCCAAAGAAGAAATACAGATGAACACATGAAAAGATGCTCAACATCGCTCATTATTAGAGAAATGCAAATCAAAACCACAATGAGATATCACCTCACACCAGTCAAAATGGCCATCATCAAAAAGTCTACAAACAATAAATGCTGGAGAGGGTGTGGAGAAAAGGGAACGCTCTTGCACTGTTGGTGGGAGTGCAAACCACTGTGGAAGACGGTATGGAGATTCCTTAAAAGACGGAATAAAACCACCATACGACCCAGCAATCCCACTCCTAGGCATATGCCCTGAGGAAACCAAAATTGAAAAAGACACATGTATCTCATTGTTCATTGCAGCACTATTTACAACAGCTAGAACATGGAAGCAACCTAGATGTCCATAGACAGATGAATGGATAAAGAAGTTGTGGTATATATATATATGATGGAATATTACTCAGTCATAAAAAGGAATGCATTTGAGTCAGTTCTAATGAGATGGATGAACCTAGAACCTATTATACAGAGTGAAGTGTGTCAGAAAGATAAATATCGAATTCTAATGCATATATACGAAATCCAGAAAAATGGTACTGAAGAATTTATTTACAGGACATCAATGGAGAAACAGACATAGAGAATAGACTTATGGACATGCGGAGAGGGGAGGAGAGGGTGAGATGTATGGAAAGAGTAACATGGAAACTTACATGACCATGTGTAAAATAGAGAGCCAACGGGAATTTGCTGTGTGGCTCAGGGAACTCAAACAGGGGCTCTGTATCAACCTAGAGGGGTGGGATGGGAGGGAGGTTCAAAAGGGAGGGGACGTATGTAGACCTATGGCTGATTCAGGTTGAGGTTTGACAGAAAACAGCAAAATTTTGTAAAGCAATTATCCTTCAATAAAAATATAAACAAACTTTAAAAAAGGAAAGGAATCCTGACCCATGCTACAGCATAGATGAACTCTGAGGACATCAGACTGAAATAAGCCAGTCAGAAAATGACAAATACTTTTGGATTCATAGGGTAGAAAGCAGATGGTGTTGCCGGTGGCTGGGGGTGAGAATGGAGAGTTACTGTTTAATGAGGTCAGAGTGTCAGTTGGGGAAGATGAATAAAGCTCTGTGGGTGGATGGTGGTGATGGCGGCACAAAACAGGAACGGTCTTAAT